AAATAATGGTGGACGAGCGGGTTTGATGTCGTCGAGTGAAACTACATTTTTATCAAGACTCGTTGCTCCGATCGACTTTCCACACGAGTACTTTTATTCATAAAATTGTCCAAGTAACCTTAATTTGTTGAAAAATATTGAAAAATATCTGTCATTTCAAAGTTTTGGGGTGTGGACCATCGGGGGTAGTCCGTTCCTGACTTTGTAGCAAAACAACTGACTCCTGCATGAAAGCTCATCGACGGAATTCATTTGTTTAGTCAATTACCAAAATTTGGATGATTTTGAATATTCACTTGAAAAGTTATCAAAGAAAAACATTTTTCATTTTGTAACTTCGAGGGCCCGTTACTTGGTAACGAAGGATTTTAGGAAAAAAAGTTATATGAAGTACTGGTGATATTTTGACCCCATCTATACATTCCCGAGAGGAAAAGAGGAAGTCCAGGGATACCCTGTATATGCACCCATAAACTAAACTAAGATGGACTTGAAAATCTTTTTTCTCAAATTAGAAGCCGTGGTCCAAATAAACATCCTAGTCCATTGGAAGCAATTTATCGAATCAGAATGGTCATTCTGGGAAAAAATCTACCATCCTCCAGGCTGCAGTGAATACTGAAGAACCGACAAAAGAAGAATATATTACTCCAAGAGTCATGAAAAAGGTGAAAATTGAATTTAACACAGACACGATTTTAGAGCAGACAATAGGATCAAATTGCAGTAGCTTATTTTCATCTAGTAGTTCTGATATTTCTACTAACATTTCTTCAACTTCAAATACAAATATTCCAGAATTAACAGAGGACTCTTTAGGATATATTGCTGGATACTTTGCTAAAAAGCATAAAAATGATCTACCTGGTTTGGGCGATTATACTTATAAAATAAAAGCAGAAAATCATAAATATAATATACCTTCTTGGATCCAGCAACTTTCACAGAGAGGTCTTATTGAACCCACAGATAATTGGTTAGAAAAAATTAAAAAGTGGAACAAGCTTTTCGGAAAAATTAATTTGGATATATTGCTGGATACTTTGCTAAAAAGCATAAAAATGATCTACCTGGTTTGGGCGATTATACTTATAAAATAAAAGCAGAAGATCATAAATATAATATACCTTCTTGGGTCCAGCAACTTTCACAGAGAGGTCTTATTGAACCCACAGATAATTGGTTAGAAAAAATTAAAAAGTGGAACAAGCTTTTCGGAAAAATTAATTTGAATGAATTCAGAAAAGGTCCCGGAGTTGTAAAAACTCTTTAAAAAAATTGCAAAAAGATCTTTTCCTCTTAATATTATTTTTGAATTTTGCAAACTGAGAACAATTATCAGAATGAAATATTATAACTTAAAGGCCGATGAAAATAGGCCACTTAAAAGAAAAAATTCAAACAGTTGTGATAATAGAAATAAAAACGAAAATTCAATGAAGTCATACATTAGTCCTTTAAATTTATTTTTCTACATTCATGCAAAACTCCCCCTAAACCGCTTCAACGCCCCCAAATCTCCTCTGTGCCGTTTATTGCCCCCCTATATGCTTCCAGCGCTCACAAGGGGGCGTTACCACCCACTTTGAGAAAGATTAACCTGAAGGCTGGCTTTCGACCGCAGTAGGTCAGATGCCAATCTTGCTGAAGTGCCCATCAGTAAGTTGAGGACCGCTCCGGACAAACGCGGGTGGATGGACGAGATGGGATGTTCAACACACAGTAATCGTGTGGGGAAGATTTCATATCAGTGCACTCAACACGGGAGGGGGCATGGGGAGAGCATCATTATTAATGCGCTCGGAACGACGGGAACAACTCGAGCACCAACAGTTACCACATCGCCTTTGATAATGTCTACCGCAGTAGCAGACGATACGTAAGGCATGAAAAGCTGCAGACCATGGCCAGAAAACCGGGAAATAACTTTCTCCGGCCGTGAAAGTTTACATCCATTGATCAATCATATTCGCATTTGAGATTCAATAATCACAGTAATATCATGAACCTGCTGAATTCTCAGACAGTTATTACGAAAATTTCATGTAAAAATACCTTATCTGTCATCCTAATTTGATTGATGTTTTCTTCCGCTCCGCAAGATGCATCAAAATTTTCCTGGTATGAACAAAAATATGTTTATCAGAAAGTATTTTCCAATGACGGATGTGTTTCAATGTTAATAATGCATGAAGTGAAGTGGAAACGTTCCTATAATGATATATTTGGTCTCGGTGTAGAAGGTTTCTTTATTGATAGCATACATCGATATCATGATGGATTATCTAGTATTCTATCAGATAATGATGGAATGAAATTGTTGTAATGTACGTAATGAAATTCCCTCTCAATACCGCAAAATGATATATGCGGAGATATTGTATAGCAAAACATGTTTTTGTGAATCTTAGTGAAAATTTCTCAAGTGTTTCTTCAAATAATCACATGTTGGAGTTGATTTTTTCGTAAATTGATAACAAAAATTAAGATATTGTTTTCATGACAAAGATCGTCAGACAAACTGCCTAAATAGTAACTGGAGTCATGAAGAATGAAAATCCAGTTGTTCTGGGAACATTTGGCCGAACGAATATTTTCAACAATTTTATTGAAAACAAGTTCAGATATTGTTGTTTTTCCATGTGGCTTTTACAGTTCAACAGACATTCTCACTACGAAATATCTCTATAGAACGAATGTATACAAGCAATGGCCCAGAACATGAATTGAATTACTATCGCTTTGTTATTAGAAAATGGAGTTTCCATTTACGTAACCTAACCCACGTTATTCCAAAGCAGAGCTATTATTCTTTCCCTCGGGCAAATTTCAAGTTATATATAGTGAGTGTGCTACTAAACTTCAGGCTCATGCCTCTTCAGGGGCATACAATGTTGTCCTCTTTTAAACCTTATATACCTTTAAACCTTATGTCTTAAATTGATTTTATAATGTTGCCTTATCTAACAGTCAGTTAAATCTGATACTATTAGGTATTGGTCCACTATTGTTATTCATAATATCATTAGGTTTACTTATTTCTACACTCTCATAGGCATCTAGATGCCTGTTGTTGTTAACTTATCTGACTAATCTTAATCGTTAGTTAGTTTAATTTGGTGAATTCCAAACTTTTCCGAATTCTCGACTTTCTCTTTTGTACTTTGGACTGAGATATATTTATCTTGGTTTTTGTCCTTTTCAAAAGTCGAGATTTCGTTCATTCTTTAAAAGTTTTCTTTCCTCATACGAAGAATTGGGCAAATTTCGAATATGTGGTTGGTTACTTCGTTCACAGACAGATGGCGCGATGACAAACCTGTTGTTTGATGTCCACTTCAGCCTAGTTCAAGGAATGATACTGAAAGAATTCGATTTTCAATTATCGAAAATCATCGACTTCATGTTGATGATAGACACTACCTTGCACTGACGAGTGATCAAACAGCCCAAAAACAGTCTGCGAGTGTGTTTCAATAATCGAAAATCTATTGCGGCAGTTGTATGTCCTTATGTAATAGTTAGGTACATCTAATGAATGAAATATTATTTTAACAAACTATATAGTATCCTGTTAGATATTGGTCCACTATTGTTATTCATAATATTGTTAGGTTTACTTATTTCTACACTCTCATAGGCATCTAGATGCCTGTTGTTGTTAACTTATCTGACTAATCTTAATCATTAGTTAGTTTAATTTCGTAAATTCCAGACTTTTCCGAATTCTCGACTTTCTCTTTTGTACTTTGGACTGAGATATATTTATCTTGGTTTTTGTCCTTTTCAAAAGTCGAGATTCCGTTCATTCTTCAAAAGTTTTCTTTTCTTATACGAAGAATTGGGCAAATTTCGAATATGTGGTTGGTTACTTCGTTCACAGGCAGATGGCGCGATGACAAACCTGTTGTTTGATGTCCACTTCAGCCTAGTTCGAGGAATGACACTGAAAGAATTCGATTTTCAATTATCGAAAATCATCGACTTCATGTTGATGATAGACACTACCTTGCACTGACGAGTGATCAAACAGCCCAAAATACGAATTCTTTCAATGTATCTTTCATGATTTTTTAATTCAAATAATATCCCTATCTGGTAATAGAATATTTTTTTTAATCCATCTTTATTGTAATAATTCTGGAGCTGCCTCATGCGACTGCATTATTCTATGCAAAATAAAATGACAGTAGTTGAAATCACATTTTATTCAAAAAATATAAGTACAAATTCAACAATGTAAAACAAAAATGACGATGGCATGATAAATAGAAAAAGTAACAAAACAAGTAACCTAACTAATATAAATGTACAAAATCAGTGTTTCATCAGTCAAACCGTAGTTGAAGTATCCTACCATTCTCAGTGACCACCACTATGTCCACCACTTCCATGTTTAGAAACATGATGGTAAATGTGCTTGTAAACTGGCACATGAACAGCGTATGGCTTGTCGATGTACTCAACATGATGCTTTTCAACTTCTATTTTGAAAGGTTTGTCAACATAAACTGGAACTAACTTTTCAACAACGATGGGAACTTTTTTCTCGATTTCTTGTGGTACCAATTTGTAAATAGGAACAGATATGGGATGAGGAACTGGAATATGTACTGCATAAGGCTGGGGAACTGGTACCTTTATGATTTGTTCAGTAGGTACTCCTACTGGATGTGGAACTGGTACTCCAATTTTTTTTACCACTGGAATATGAACCGGTTTTGTATGTTCTATTGTTCTGGTGGGAATGTGATGATGCTGCACTTCTACTTTTGGTTTGAGATCGGGGTGATCATTTTGTCCTTCAAAATCATGTCCACTCAGATTAATTCCATGACTAGCAAGATTTGCTATATTCCCAGAGTCATGACCGTCTGAGTCATGACTATTCAATTCAGAACCACCGAAACCATGTTCTCCACCTACTACTCCTCCTTCATGATTTCGCAAGTGCTCTGATAGGGCGGATAGAGCGGAGTGATCTTGTTGCCCTTCTCCGACGCCTACACTAGCTTGAAAACCACTTTGCCATTGACCTGAAGTTCCACCTGTAAAAAAATGAAGAAAATTTGTTAACTATCTAGAGCTTTTCGAATTTTGGTTTTTTCTCAACTTTCAGCAAAACGAATTGAAATAACTGACGGACATTGAAAGATGGACTCTATTCAGGGTGACATGAACGAAAAACATTTGCTGCTCATTTCACGAGAAACAAGTAGTAAAGGATAGGAATAGGAATATTGTATATGAATTATGACTATAGTATTCCATGAAAGACTTTTTTGTAGAGGAGGTATTGTTTCTTGGTGCTTCTCAGATTTCCCACCTATCACAATCTGAAAAATGAAGAGCAGACCAAAGAGTTCACCATGAGAAATAACTGCATCTGTTTAAAAAATTTGTTTCTGTCTGTTCTGTTTTTCCGTTAACCAGCTGTCGCACCCCTACGAACGATAACCCTCAGAAGTCGAAACTTGTGCGAGCTGAGGATTAACGAGGTCTTACCTTTTAACGTGTGATTCCCAACACGGGTTGGATGATAGCAAGTGATGCTATCATCCAACCCGGCTATCGACCAACACGGCAGTCAATTCGAGTGAGTGAACAAAACACCCACGCCGAACCGCTTGGCTACCGACAGACCATGCATGATATAAACCTTTGAAGTGTCCAGTCAAAAACTTGTATCTATGAAGTTCGCCTATGAATGAATTAAATGATTGAAAAGTCAATTTTTGGTGACAGGTAATACTGGAACTTCTGACGTGAAATAGCTCCAGAACGAGTACTTTTCTCAATCAGCAAAAATGCAATACTCTTCACAACGCATGTTTCATCAACCAAGTTGGCGTCTTCAGGAGATGACGTCAACTTGGTTGGTGGAACGCTCGTCAAGAAGAGTATTGAATTTCTGGTGATTGGGAAATATGCTTGTTTTGGAAAATTTTCAATACTCATCTTTTTCAATATGAATGACTTTTCGGACTATCGTCTGTGAAACCTGTGAAAATATTTTCAAAAAAAAGTGTTTTTTAAATTATTTTTGCGAGTGTTAAAAACCAAAAAGATTTTTTTTCCGTAATGTTAGCCGTATTGAAAAAGATAAGCATTGATAATTTAATTTTTTCAACACTTTATTTTCAGTGAAAATTCATGGATAATATCAGTTACTGACCAATTAAACTCTTCATAGGTTCATGTATGTTTATTTTATGTTTTTGTTTCTGTCTTGAAACTGCATGTGTGATTATGTTGATTTTGTATGTGAAGCTTTCATTTGTTATTTATTACTGACATTTAATACTGACACACTCCTCGGAGTTTATATGTGTACATTATATGTATCCAGAGCATCTATCTATCTATATATCTACCTATCTATCTGTATCTGTAGAGTAGAGAGGGTGACAATACAATAAAGAGTTTACTGTATAAGTTTGATAATGCCCTTATAGGATGAAACTGCAGTAACGTTAGTTACAAATGAAAGTGGTAAAAAACATAGAAAGTTTCAATTCTCTTTCCTTCATTTCGATTTTCTACCACGTAGTAACGGCTACATCCATCAATTCATATCATATTTTACCTTCTTCTCCTTCCTGACTTCTTTCCGAAACCTCGTTGTTTATTTGTGGTTCGTTATTATCCAGTTCTTGACCCCCAAAACCTTGCTGTTGCTGACCACCATAATCAGTCAACTGTTCTTGACCTCCACCACCTCCTCCATAATCGAGCGACTGTTCTTGAACGTTGTATTCACCTTTTGGTTCTTCCTGGCTCTGTTCCTGACTGAAGCTATTGTGAAGTTCACTTCCTTGGCCTTCGTGATTGCCACCGTAGTTGCCTATAATACTTCCATGCACCTTATCGTCAGCTAAGGTCAACAGAACGGCAAGACCCTGAAAATGAAATTGAATTAGTTAATTTTTTTGAGAAAGATCAACTTTGTGATGATTTTTTTCACAATTGAAACTGAACTACGTCTTTTGTTTCTATGTTACTTGGTTATTTCTAGAATATTGCTGTCTTGTAGAATTATTCTTATAAACAATCAAGACAAACATTATTTTCATTATCATTCCAGTTCAGCGTATTATAACTCAATTTGCATCACTATATTGGTTGCTCTGCGCTGCTCTGCTGAAATGTATCAACAGGAATTCGCCTCAAATGATCGAACTCTGACAGATCAACAAGAGTTTTTGGGGGTCAAGATACCAAAATGTTTGTATTATAGATGGACTGACCCGTTACTTGATGGAAATGGATAACAATGGCCATGATACAAACTGAACAATTTTCACTATATTTATTCAATTCTAGACGTGTTTTGCTTACGAAGTGACTTCATCGGTAGTAATAAAAAACTGATTTTGAGAAAACGTTCAGGTTAAGGGTAAAAGCAATTAATAGTGACTTGTGACTATGAAAATTGAACTACGCCTTTTATACTCATCTGGCCAATTATAGTATTTTTCATTTCTTTTTATGAATAATTGTAGCATGTAGCATGTAGCATTTTCCAGCGGATTTTTAACGTTGAAGTGAATGTTCAGAATTCAATTGGAAATATTTTCATTTTCGTGAAACTTCTCCAAGTTCTACTTGGTGGCTAAAGATTTTAATAAAAACTCTACGATATCCACAATCCACCACTAACACAAGTGGATGGTTTAATTGCAACAACAGTCATGGAAAAAGCAAATCTATCAGCTGAACCATTTGCGTTCCACTCCACTATTCCCACGCTAGAATCCACAATGTCGGAAATTACTTTTCGACAAAGTCTAGTCGAGCGATTTTTGAAACAGCTCAATATCAACAAGGCGTCTGGTCCTGATGGAGTGCCCGTTATCGTACTTTAAAAGTGCGCAAATGAACTCGCACAAGTATTTTGCAGACTTTTCAACCTATCTTACAAGAAATGGGTTTATCCTTCCTGTTGAAACATTGCTCGCATTCAGCCTATTTCCAAAAATCTTCCAAATCACTATAGACCAACTATTCGCTTTGCTATCAATGATATAAAAAATCATGAAAAAAGCCGTCAACCACTATATCCTCAAATATTTGGAAGGCTTCAATATCTTGAACAAATATAAATATGGCTGTCGAAAACTAAGATCAACAGGCGACCTTCTATCGTATGCCACCCATATTTGGAATAACGCAATCGAGTAACATGAAGAGGCAAGAGCTGTTGCTCTTGATATTTCTGAGGCCTTTGGCCGTGTGTGACATGAGGGTTTGCTGGCCAAACTTCCATGCTGTGGCTTGCCGGATCATTTTTGTGTATGGCTTTTCAACTTCCTTAAAGAACTTTCCATGCAAGTTGCCGTTGATGGATATCTCTTGAATACATTTACCATCAACGCTGGTGTTCCCCAGATATACATATTGTCTCCAATCTTCTTTTTATTATATATCAATGATATACTGGTGGAAACGAAAAATTAAATATATTGTTTTGCTGGTGACAGCACACTTGTCTTGTCATTCCATTCGGATTCCAGAACATCAGCATCTTCACCAGCAGCAGGAGGTTGCATTTCCCAATGAGGATCTAGAAGTGATTTCGAATTGAAACCAACCAGGTTTATTTCAATACCACAAAAACCCAGACATCGCTTTTTTTCAAGGATATAAATGTCTCCGAACTGTATATAATAGTGCCAGGTCAGACAGTTCTGTTTTCTGCTTCAATAAGTTTGTTGGGGATTGAAATTGACACCAATATGTCTTGGTACAATCATGTCATTGGAATTGCAAAAGCTGCTTCTCAAAAGCTTGGAACACTGTTGCAAACCAGAAAACTGTACACACATCAGCATCTTTTGATGCTTCATGAAGCTCAGATCAGACCTCCTTTGGAGTATTGTTCTCATGTATGGAGTTTTTGCCCCTAAGCATACCCTGAAGCTGCTGGATTCCATCTAGAAAAGAGCCATCTGATTGATATTTTTTTGCTTCATAGGTGAATTGATAAAATAATTAGGAAATTATCTTTATTAGTTCAGACTTTTGGGAAATATGTTTGAAGTGGAAACCTCATTATTATTTCATTATGCATTGTTTTCCAATATAATGATCTATGGAATCATAACTACGGATGGTGCATATGAAAATTCGTTAAAATATGTCGTGTATATTCACAAGTATGCAATAAAAATTAAATTCAAAAAACGTTTTTCATCTGCATTAAAAGTTTCATTCAAAAATACTCGTATTTCATTTCAACTCTCAGATAAACATTCTACAATCTATCAGTACCATCTATATAAAAATATTATGCATTTACTAATATAATTGAACAAGATCAGAGACCAATGAATGCTTTCAAATTGCCAGGTGCTAATTTCAATGCAACAACACAAAACACTGCATGTGTATTGGTTGTGAAATTTACAATATAATTTCACGAGAAATCATGAAGGTGAGATCAACAGTATCTAAAAAACCATTACAAAAATAGATATTACATAATACTGAAAATATTACAAATGGGCTCACATTAGAATAATTCAGTTCAACAGATGATTCATTCCACCCTCATTAATAATAAAACACTATTGTTGATACATTTCTTCATTTCAAATGACTTTTCCGTGAACAATATCTCAACAGTTGACATCTTTATTTCTCAACTAACACAGTAAGACACAAGTGTTTACACTTAGCAGACTGTGTTGAAATATTATGCATGCACTAACAATTTTTAATTATTCATAGACATTGATTTGCTATTGAATATCCGTTAATAGATTTGAATTTTGAATTTTTTTGTTTTTGTTATGTATTCAGACGAATCATTTGAAAACTGTACGTTTAGAAATGGTTGAGAAATTTCATTCGAAAGATAGAAAATGTGCAAGAAATAATCAGAACTGAAAATAAATTCGAAAAATTAAAAATATTTCGAACTGAATTTTGAACATTGACCCAAACATTCAATGTCTGCTACAAATAATAATCGTCTTTGTCATTTCCGTAATGCAGTCGTAGGTACATGAAAAAATTCAAAAATACTTCAATTTGCCTGGTGGAAATTAAAGGCAAAGTTCTTTAACGTTTTCCCAAAAAAAGTTTTTGAAAACCGTCAAACAGTTTGACGGTTTGAAGGTAACAGAGTATGACACTTCATCATTTTAAGTCTAACCAAGCCAAGTCAGAGTTGCCGGCTGGCGTTTGGATGGAATCAGTCAAGTCGCAGTATGTCCGTGTCTGTCGAAGTAATAGGTGAAAACGTTTTTTTTTCGACAGACAATGGTCAAATCCTACTACGAAAGATCGTTGGGATAGGTGAATGTTTGGAATATTATTTGAAATATCTATTTTCTTGATGTATATGCATACCTATTCTTCCTCAAAATCGTCATGAGATTTATCCAATTTTCGTTAAAAAAGATTATTTTGATTGTAAATATCAATTGGGTTTGTCTGTGAAACAACATTTTCTTATGCATAGAAAAAGTGGGATTATAACATACATATCTCAATGCACCCAACAAAAAATCACTTTTATCAAACTTCTCTCTGTGAGAGTGTGTTAGAAGTGCTTTTATCATTTCTTACTATGAGATTTCAATTTTAACTTGGAGTAGTACAAATATTTTCTGAAAATATTCATATACTTAATTAATTTGATCTAAAACCTCACGACATAAAACATAATATTGAATCAAAAATAATGATGATAGTTGAGGGGTATTAACTTTCAATTGTCACTGTTGAGTGACGATGTCACATACAAAAGGTTCCTTAAAAACTCACAAAAAACAAATCATAAAATATTGCTATTTAGCTACTCAAATTTTTAATTTAGAGAACTTCATTTACAATAGTTTCACTCACTATTTAATATGCAACTGTGAAGGCTCGTGGTAAAATCAGTCATTCATTCATTTCTGTAACTGATAAATGGAACAGTTTTTCATGTTCATTGACACAAATCATCAACCTGAAGTAGATAGTTATTTCGTAACAAGTATGTATGTCATGACAGCCTATAAGATCTCAATTTCGTTCATAATCACTATATTATTTTTTCTCTATAAGCTTCAGAGTTCTCTTTTTTTCGTATTTGTAATCATTTTTCCATGAAAAACACAACCAATGCAAGTTTTCCCAACCAATCAGTATTTCCCCTCATACTTCATTCATAAATGCAAAGTAGTAACGATGAGTTCTGTTATCCTTTCACATATGTTTTCATTTCATGCCAGCTACCCATTCACCCATAAATTGATTCATCAGCTAGGCACGAAGCCAACACATTCTGAACATGGAACATATCCATCATAAATCTACTGAACTACTTCATTAACGATTCAAATCGTCGGAGACCGTTTGGCGTGAAAAATAACCACGACAAATCTTGTCTCCACTTTCACGAAAATTCCTACTAGATATAATGAACGCTATTTTTTAACAAGGCTTTGAGTGAAAGGATTTAATTTTATGATGATGATTATCTTATTTCAGGTAAATGTCAACGGCCTGGTGTACGTTCTGATATAATTTCCAAATACGGTGGATGTTATATACAGATCTTAAGTCGAAGTCATAGCTTATCGAATTGATTATGGGGAGTAGATCTCAATAAAATGTTATATATCGTGGAAATATCAATCAAGACGTATAACACAATGTTGACAAAATCATGAGTGAAGCATTAGGACTGCAAAATAATTTTGTCACAATTGTGACAATTTTTAAGCATACATTGTTTGGACTGCACGATGCTATTGTCAATGTGTTCGAGAAAATTAAAATGAATTATTCCGAATTTTTTGCGATTCTTTAAGCTCAAAAATATTCAAAAATATATATTCAATAAATACCAAAAATATGGTTTTTATATTCTCAAGCTACTGAAACAAAGATAGTTGATATACAAAGGTGAAACTACAACCTTTGGCGTAGAATAAATATAAGAACAAACGCTTTTTACAATAGCAAAAAATGCAATACTTTTCTCGACGCGCGTTTCACCAATCAAGAAAACTGAATGTCTTCATCTTATGCTTGTATATTGATAGTTGAGTTTAATGGAGTGAAATGTTAGAAATATATCAACTGAGTATAACACATTATCATCAATAAATATGTAGCCTTGAAGGAATGAAATACTTCTGAGCTCTGTATAGAAAAATTGTGTAAAACAAATAAACAACGTAAATTATTTGCAATACATCTAGTGAGAGTTTATGAGTGATAGTGTTACTACTGAAAAGTATATTGAAACATTACCTAAAATCATCATATTCGAAGTTATGCTTCATTCGGATTCAGGTTATTCCAATATCAGATAACCAATATCAACCAAATTTTCAGTAGAAGGAATAAATCATATTATATTATCATTATGATTCTGAGATTTTGAGAGTGCCACCACATTAACAAGTCGATTGAAAGTTTCTGAATGTCACCCAGCCACTCAACATTTGGCTTCTATCAACTTCGTGGAACATTAGACTACTGCCTAGTCTCTACAGGATATTATACATAAATTAATCTCAACATTTTTCATGTTTTACCTGCAACTTTTTCATTTACATCATAATTGTATGTAATAACCCTCGTACAGTATACTGGACGATTGCTCTCATATTTTCAAAACACTTGAATAAGGTCCTCACATGATAAATTGACATTCGATATTGGTTGAACTGATTTGAAATAATTTCTTCACATCGCAATGCCATTCCTACGAAATTGCTTGTATGGCTGTAAATTACTTTTTTGTGTATGTCATGATATGTTCCGTTACTATATAGTAATTAAGGAAAGTATTTGTTTGACTTCAGATTTCTCCCTTAGTGAGTATTATGCTGATGTGCGATTTTTTTTAAATTGATGAAATATTACACGAAGTGTATGATCTGAGTAATCTTTACTTCTGTAAAGATTATTCTATTATTCTATATTGGGTGGCGCCCAAATTTAATTTCAAACATAGTCAAAAGTGGAAATTTACGGAGTTTCAGGAGAGACTGCAATAGACTGCAATAATATTTGAATGATTATTCGTATGGAATAACCATACGAATTATTAGATAGAGAAAACTACTCACAATAGTTATGAAAAGTTATGTTTTGTTATGATATATAGAAAATTATTCATGAACAGGATATATGAAAATTGATTTGGAAAGTCAGTTGAATTCAAACTGAATTATTTTGATTTGACTATATCCTGAACTGATTTTCTGTGTAAAGAATCGTCAAAAATCAGAACTAGTTTTCGGACAAGCTGCTCTCCCTAACGGATTTTCATCATTCACAGTTACTACATTGAACCACTTTCACTGTACTAATATACCACACTTTTCACGAAACCAATTGTCGGTGGACCGTGTTAACCGCAAAGAACGGAGAAATAATTGATAGGAAAACTAAAATAATTCCATCACTTACAATAACTAATTTCATGTTGGTGTGTGTTAGATGAAATCAAAGACTGGTGATACGATTGTTCACTCTCTGCTCTTTATACCCTTTCTTGGGCGGGACTATGTGATAGTGAAAGCCTTTCTAAATTTCCGGTTACTCGCTCATTTGGACGTCTCCACAATAGATTATATAAATTAGGATCATTTTTCAAAAACGAAGATAACATAAATTGAAATAATGAAAGGGAGCAAAATAATCGGAAGCAAGCATATTTTCCACTAGGCTACATTTGAGATGTCATCAGAACAAGCCATAAAAACGAATTTGTCGAACATGAATAACCCTCCCAGAATGTGCGTCGATTGAAAGTGAAGTCATCCCGTTGAAAGTTTTCAGAAAAGTTAATAGGTGTTAGATTTTTCATGAAATTCTCTGTTGAATACTTTCTCTCTGCCTTCATAATTATGAACCTTTCAATATATTTCATCATGCTCAAATTTTAGAAAATTCATGCAGTATATGAATCATCATTATCAACAATACACTCAATTTGCAAAAAAACATTTTTTCAGAAAAAAATAATATAAGATCTTGACTTAGCATCGAAAATAGCTGTTGTATCCTATTTTGAAATATTTGTCACTAATTCCAACTCTTTTTTCAGAAGCGTCTCTGCATGCTTTTATTTTAATTTGAAAAAGGCGAGCAATAAGAAAAAAATTGAACTGTGTATTATCAAAAAGTTTCGGGTTTAAAATTATTAGTTTTACTGTTTCCTCTTCAGTTTCACCTTTCCCGATGTCTGTAATCATACCCCATGATATGGGTGTCAAATGACGTCATCCTGAATCTAAGACGGCGGACCGCCCAAGATGACGAACTAGTTTTTTCTTGCACTCTCATGATGTGGGTATCAAATAGAAGGGTTAACTGAAAAGGATACCAAAAATAAAATGATTCCAATATGAATACAGTATGGTGGACGCCCAAACGTGATTGACTGTCTTTTTAGGCACCCACATTAATAAATATCAAATGAAAGGGTTTGAGATGCGTAATAGCAAAAAATAACCGTTCACTATAGATCATCTTTTTGGAATCAGACAAGAGAGACTGGTATTCGAAATAGTCACAGTAGGTATGCTGACAAAAAGTGTGTTCTCAGTGCAATAAGTTGTAAATAAAACTACGAGAAAAGCAGGCTGTCAAGTGTTTTGGAATAATAAAAGTGTGACGGTTTCGTGTCCTCGAATTATTCTGTGATTTGAAAGTTTTAATTCTTTCATACATATTATTTGGCTTTTTGTAAATGAGGAATTTATGTGTATTGACAAGTAGGTGGAACTGCCAGGTTTTAGCAATCGATAACCAACCTGACTCCTCGAACTTGGGGGATATATGGTCGAATTTTCTCACACCATAAGAAAGACGAATGCCACTGTTTTGTATTTTCTGTAAGCGATTTACATCAGTTTGTATCAAAGCAGGCCCATAGATTATATCGCAATATGCTAATCTAGACAACATGAGGGTTTCGCAAAGTTTCAACTTCAATTTGGAAGTCATAATATCTTTTGGTAGAGTTGACGTAAGGTACTGTATGAGCTATGACAAAGTGAATTTATATGTTTGTGAAATCTCAGATCAGCATCTAACCATAAACCCAAGTTCTTGCTTTCTGTAATTGTTTGTAGTAAGTCTTGTCCAAGTTGGATTTCAATTCTTCCTTCAATTTCCCTTCTTTTGTGTTTCGGGCCAAAAAGTATCAGCTGAAATTTTTCAGAATTCAATTTCAGGTTATGGGCTATAGATAGATCCAGTATCTTTTGTAGATCGCTATTAATTTTTTCCACGGCCACCTGCCAGTTACTTGGAGGAAATCGATAATATAACTGAATGTCATCTGCATAATGATGAACGGTGCAATGATCAATTATTTTATGGAAGTCAGATATATATAAAGAGAACAGAATTGGGCCAAGGATAGAGCCCTGAGGTACGCCATAATCAACAGGTAAAGCACTAGAGAACACTTTCCATCCAGACATACTGACTGAGTCCGATTTCTGAGGTAACTTTTCGATAGATTTACAGTACCTTCACTAAATCCGGGAAATTACATTTTCCTACACAGAATATTGTGATCTGATGTATCGAATGCTTTACTGTAGTCCAAGAGTACCATGGCAGTCGATTGATTATTATCAGTTTCTTTGAATAAATCTTGGGTGATGTTGACAAGGGCGATGGTGGTGCTATAGAATGTACGAAATCCAGATTTGAACATTTGTTATTAAATTATTATTGTATACAAAAGAATCAATTTGATCTTTCAGAATCCGCTCGAACACCTTAGATAGGATAGGCAGTTTGTTAGTTGGCCTTAAATGAGATAATTCAGTTGGTTTTTCACATTTTGGCAAAGGGAGTACAATTGCATGTTTCCATGCAGAAGGAAAGTGATTTGTTTCTATAGAGGAATTGAATATATGTATGATGTGGTTGATGAGATATACTTCTACATAATGGAAGAAATTTTGTCAAATCCAGCACAGTTACTTTTCATACCACTGATGTATTGTTGAGTCTGGAGTAGTGTCACTCTGCGAAAATTCAAAGTACGTCCATTATAGGTCTGAGTATATCTTTCAATAAGTGTTTCATGCTGATAAGATTTTGCAGGATGAATAATATTTGTGAAGTGGAAATTTATTTGATTCAGATCTGATAAATCCGCTAAAAGGTTAGGGCTGTGTTTATTTTTGAAAATTTCAAGTTTTCTTAGAGTACCCCAGATCAAACTGGAATTTCAGTTTCACGTGGGATTGCTGCGGTGGTATAATTACTATATCAAATTTTTATCTACTTAATTATTCTTGAGTCCGTAATGCATACTCCAGAGTTTATCCATCATGTATTGGATATTCACAGAAATCTAATCGACTTTGGTAAAATCCTCAACTGTTTCAATTGAAATTATCCAACCCCCTCGATGTTTTCCTAACATTCTTGTAATTATTTGTATGAAGGAAAATAGGGTAATTTCAAATGGTCAACTCTTTCAGTTGTTCGCAAGCAAAAATTGAAAAAACTTGTCTTGTCCTTTTATCATAAACTAGACATTGCCTAAACCAGATACAAACTGTGAGTTCGTATAATGTGCTATAGAGAGCATAGTAGGCTTTGAAGAAATATTAATTGTTTGTCTATGAATTTGAAATACGGTATGATTCACTTCTTTTGAAAAATTGTTCAATGATTCGCATGAAAAATTCATCCTGAAAATTATAGTCAGATTACACGTTTTCTATATTTCATGATGTATTTTACGAATGATTCTGTACTTATTTTCGTTGAATGTTTTTTGTTCAAAGGTCTATTTCATGATATTTCTTTTGAATTAGTGAATTGGGGATATTTGAAAAAAAAATCATACTAAGGATCAACTCATATAGTTTTCTGTAGATTTTCCACTCAAAATCAAATTCACATTGTCCTTCACTTCATAATGAGAATGTCATGTTGATTTTGATTTCTGGTGAACACTATCTCATTGTTGAGAAAAATGTACTTCCAAAAAAAGGAAGTACTGTAGATTAGAAAAAAACATCGAACAAATTCATTTCCAAAACGAAATATTTTCTTTCATAACTTACGTTAATACTAAATATTGGTGATGACAGTATTACTATTACTGAACTTAATAGGCCGAACATTTTTTTCTATCGCACAATCATTCATCAATTATATCTTTCGGACTATTTAAGACAAACTAGAAATGATTTTGCCATATAACTCTTCGTTTTTCGGAATGAAACTTCGTGTTGGTTGTGATTATAGTGAAAAAATTGTGATCGAGAGTTTTTTTTTCAATAAAAGCAACAACGGTATATATATTACTATTCAGTCAACAGTTCTTCATTAACAAAACCGATCGGAACATCGAAGTGAAACCAATCCCGACAATTTTCGTAAAGAACACTATTTTGGAAATATTTTGGTATTTCTCAAATATTTAACAATTTGTATGTGGATTATATTTGTGTCTCTTGATTCTCCATGAGAAACATCAGGTTTCAGACGCCTAAATGACTGTGGCTAAATGAGAAAAATAGTGCAATTGTTGCAGTTGCATTTTTCAACTCGAACTTTTTCTCGACTACTGATTTTCAATATTACTCTGATTCAATAAAAACACCATTGGCAGATGAATTCCATAAAATTCATGAATCCGTTCCACCTCATCCAATAATACCTTACTGTAATCATTGATGCAGTTCAGTTTCTTTTGCAGTTGAACCCATTTTTTCGACAGAAAATCGTCCCATCCAAACATACAATACATTAACGGTAATGAATTCCTGAATGCAGTGAAATGGAAAATGATATGTAGATAATCAATTACCATAATACTATGCAAAGCAAATATAATTAATAGTTAAGTTGGTGAAACAAATTATTTAATTCAGTTCAATATACATCCATTATCGAACAATGGGACCAATTATAATATAAACAATTACTGGTAGAAACTAAATGGCTTGGTTGATCGGTTCAGTAGATTTTTTCCATTTCCTATCAAATGTAATTTTTTATAGTGAAATGTTTCTGTGATACTGATGGAAAACCATTGGGAAATGACACAAAAATGTATTTCACAAGTGCAGAAAGTAACATATTCCAGACTCGTGTGGACGAGTAGCACACTATACTTTTTCTTCGATCAAATTGGAATTCTGCTCATTCAATTTCAACTAGTCAATAGCTAATAATGACTGCAAAAATTCATATTTTCAGTACTGTAGTTAGCAATATTTTTGCAGGTACCATCAATTTTGGAGTCCATATTATAATGTGTTTCTGGTATTGCTTCATGAGGGTTAACTTATCACCTTGGTCGTCTCTCTTATATTTATTGAAGTGATACTCATAGTCATCGTTCGGTTTTTCAGATTCATTGAAATAGAATATACGGTTTTTTCTGTCGCCTCTTCATACAAGCGGTACAATAAGCATACCGATTATAGAAAGAAATCGTTAAGTGATTTATAATTTCATCATTTGAAA